CACTCACTCTAATCCGGGCAAAAGAGTGAGACTCTGTCTCAAAAAAAAAAAAAAAAAAAAAAAGAAGTACACCTATCATATGATTCCATGCCAATCACATGAAGCATTTAGCATAGACACAACCGCATACCTTGGGAAACACACAAACTTAGATGTCATAGGCCATGACTACAATCTGTTTTAAGTTAAAAATAAAATTCTCTAATACCAGTTACAAAAAAATAACAATATATAAAATTATCAGCCAAGGGAATCATACAAATATTTCAAATTTGTCTTTTTAAAAAATTTCGGTGTCAGTGATAGAAAAAGTAGCAAATAAAGAGCTCTCTTGCCTTTACAATAACTATTGCCTGATATGTTTTCACACATCAGAGGAAATTAAAGTACCTGGCTGAGCGACATTATAGAGCTGAAAAGGAATAGCAATCACTTACAATGGACAAAAGGTCTACCAGACAGAATTTCTTACATAACTTGAGCAAGGAGATAACATCCATATCTTAAATAGCCTTTGCTGAGCTTTTAGCAAATTATACTGTGATAGTATTAATGCTTCACGACCTTCCATAGCTTATAATTAGAGCTTTGAAAACAAAAACTTTGTTTGACATATGGACAGAAACAGAGTGAGAAAGTGATACGGGGTGGGGGGTGGGGGTGTGTCACAGAATTCAATAGTAAAAACCAACATTCAGGTATTCATTTACCTTCTTATTTAGCCAGTGCCAGAGCTTGAGGATAGGGGGTAAGGTGAGAAAGGGAAGATAAGAACAGTGGAATATCATTAGAGAATGCAATAATAGTATGAAAAGAAAAGAAAGGAAAAGTCACTGAGAGCATGAGAAGGAAGTTGTTCCAGACAAAAGAAAAACTAGGGCGAAAAAACTAACACATCGATCAAGTTTTAAAATCAAGAGAATACAGTATTCCTTTAAGAAATACAATGACTGAAATGATAACCACAGCTTTGTGGGGAATCCAACCAATAAAAATATATAAAATAACCTGAATGCTTGTAGGCTTAGTACCTCCGTGCCTTTGCCTTGCTCCGTCTCCCTGCTCTTCTTGCTGTGTCTGCCTCAGCAACCGCCCGTGCTTCAAAATTTGCTCCTGCATTGTTTCCTCTGCAAAATCTTCCCCTTCCCACCACCTTATCAACAGTCATTTCTTGCTCGGTACTACCACCGTATCCTGTACACACCTTTCCTACCCAAATTATAACAACAGCTAATACTTATATAGAGCTTATTGTGTACTGATCTAGGGATTTTACATATATTAACTCATGCAGCCCTGATGACCATTGTATGAGGTAGGTGATATTACACCCATTTTGTTGATAAAGAAACCAAGGCACAGAAAGGTTAAGAGACTTGTCCAAGGTCACGTGTCTAGTAAGTAGCAGAACTGAGAGACCAGAGTATAGATTCAGAAGCCATGCCCTTTAACCACTGAGCTTCTGAATCTAACCACCACCTCAGAATTTTTATGAATTGCTCTCAGCTTCTATTTGATTTTCCGTGATTCATCTGATTTTCCCAGCGGTCTCTGACACATGGGAGTTACTCCAAAAATATTCACTGAAATGAGCCACTACTTCATTATATAATTTTAGGCAAGTCACTTAACCTCTGTATATTTCAATTTGGTCCTAAAAAAATAAGGGAGTTGAACTAGGTGTTCCATAAGATCCTTTTCTCCCATTTTTAAGAGGAAATAAACATTTACACAATAGTTATCCACCCTATCCTTATGTAAACCATAAATTCTAAACTTCAGAATTTTATCATAGAATTAGATATTAAATGTGTTATCAACAGTTACAATACAAACACCAAATCATGAAACATATAAACTCCATCAAGACAGTCCAAGCTCTTAAAATACAATACCTTGCTATCAACTTTTAACAAGAATTTTCCAAGCCCAACAATTGGCCAAGGTGCGAGAGCACCCTGCCGCTCCTTCAGGAAGCTCTCCATAACCCCCCACCACACATGGTAGCGTTTCTCCAGGAAGTCCACAACTCCAAAGTGAATGACCAGCTTTTTGAGTATCCACACTATAAAGAAGATAAAAAATACATATATAAACAAAAGACCAATTAGAAAGTCATAACATGAAAAGGTTCCTTAATTTCACATGACCTTTCTAAAACATCAAAGCCAGTATTAAAATAAAGATCAATGCTTAAAAAAGGGGGGAGGGGGCGCTCAAGGTACGCCAAACAGATGGAACTGGGCCAAATAACTTTTCATACAATCCCCGCCTATCCGTATATTATCTTCTTGTGAAGTCTGAATCCCTGAAGGAGTCAGGGATTATTTTACAGCCCATATAACATAAGATACTCTTATCATAAAGATTCCAGTGACTACAATCTTGGCCCCTCACACCTTCCCCCCTCCTGAGTAAAGGATATGAACCCCTGACATTTCCTAATCCCCTTGACTTTTATAGCTGCTTTGGCCAAATTTTGCTCTTTACCTCAGATGTTTGTTATTTAGTGACTAGAAAAGCAAAAAGTATTCCACACACATCGCAACTTTATACCATTGCAGGGTAATGTTTTCATTTGTGTTCCTGTTTCCCCATTTGATGCTGCTCTGGACATCTGAATCGATGTCAGGGTTCGGTAGAGAAGCAAGCTGAGTACAAGCAAGCTGCTACAAATGGCCCAAGCCTGTGTGTGCACTGCCCAACTTCAGTGGGGACCGTTCACAGACCATAAAAGGAACGTCTCCCCCTGGAGTTGAGCAGTGCAGTGGCCCTTCAAGTAGGGGTTAAGCATCCTATTAAAGGCCAACTAAGAAGGTGGTAGGGCCAGAAGGAAATGTTACTGATCTGTGTGGCTTGCCCTAAAGTTTGGACCCTGAATGATTGATCCCAACCACTGTAACTTCCCTAACTCAAGGAATCTGGTAATTACCACGATAATTACCTTTGTACCAAGGTACAAAGACCTGATTTAATGATTTATGGAAAACCATATGATCCATTTTGACATAATACACAGAATATATACGCATGTAATTCAGTTTTTCTGCCCAAAGAAAACCCAAGATTTTGCATACATTTATTTCTCAAAGGCTATATTTCCTTTGAATTAAAAAGGCAATGTAAAAAGTGCTTCCCTAAGAGCAACTCTCAAAATTCAATCATAAACCCCAAAATCCAGATGGTTGTTAACACTCTCCTCCACAGAATTATGGACGACTGAACAGTCAAATCTCTATGTGGAGCTACAAATCTCAAATACCACATGAAATCATACGAGGCTAAATACATTTTTAGGCTTAAAAGTAAAATATTGCCAGGGCACAGGGGCTCACGCCTATAATCCTAGCACTCTGGGAGGCTGCGGCAGGAGGACTGCTTGAGTTTAGGGGTTTGAGACCAGCCCGAGCAAGAGTGAGACCCCATCTCTACCAAAAACAGAAAAAATTAGCCAGGTGTGGTGGCGTGCACCTGTAGTCCCAGCTACTCAAGGAGACTGAGACAGGAGGATCACTTGGAACCCAGGAGTTTGCAGCTGCAGCAAGCTATGATGACCCCACTGCACTTTAGCCAGTGCAACAGAATGAGACTCTGTCTCAAAAAAAAAAAAAAAAAGTAAAATATTAAAGAAGTATTAAAGTAATAAATTCCCAAAATTATGTTTGTTCATTATTTAAATGCTAATAAAAGATTGCTCTATTTATAAATATAGAAATATTATCTCAAATATTAAAATATGACAGCAAAGTAAGAAAAAAAAAGTCTTCGAAGATGAGACAAGATCATAATTAACCAGATAATAACCTGCAACAGGCACTGGCAGCAACTGCACAATCCACAGGTTCAGCCAGATCTGGACAATTATGATGGCCCAAACGAGAGACACGAAGTAGATATCACTAGTTTTCTTCTTTCTAAGAAACGTTCCGATTTCAGGCCTTTGTCTGCCCAGAGTGGGTGAAGGGGAGGAGGGTGAAGGGGAGGAGGCCAATGTTGGAGGAGGTTCTCCCCTGTCTGTGGTTTCTGAAGAGGCAAACAAAAAAACCATACACCATATTAGTCCACATGAGGAAACAGTAATACAGAGCAATTTGTCAGACTACTCTACTTTAAGGCTTCAAAATGTACTCTGATAGCATGTATGATTTGATTATATCAGGTTAAAAAAGACAAAAGGATTTGTATATGTGTTGGCATATGCACTGAAAACCATGTGGAGAATTACAATGCTGAGGGTGCTTGAATCTAGAGAGATTAAGTTTGTTGCGGGGTAGGGTTGGGAGACAGACAATGATTTGCTTTTTATATTTTACAGTGTACAAGATTTTTATGACTAGTATATACCTATCATTGAAACAAAATACATGACAAAGTAGCTGAGAATTATAATTATCCCATAAAAATTATTCAAATCATATAAAGCAACAAACATTAACATATACTAGAATTTCTATATTTAAAAATTCTACCTTTTTCAGTATAACTTTAGAATTTATATATATTTCTGACACAATAAGGCTTTTCAGTGTCATTTCACCTAAAATGGAATCATCTGCCCTTATAAGAATCCAGGGCTGTCCTTCAGGATTGTTCCACTAAAGTTTATTTTTCAAAAAATTTACTTTACATTGTTGTATGTAAATAACGACTTGTCAGTGTTCCAGATATATCTTAGCTTAAACTAGTGAATGTTCTAACTTAGATGGTTTTTGAAGTCTATACATTCGGTATTGTTTGGCCCTTAAGCTTTTACATCTCTTAGCATGGAGGACGAAGAAAGCTGCACATCGTTGCTTGAGAATCTGTACATTTAGACCAGATTTGTATTTGCGCTGTCAGAATGGCAAATGAGTGAAAAAATGTTAATACACTATTGGGTTTTTTATTTCTTTTTTTTTTTTTTGATTCAGCTTATACCAGGGCTGAAAACCTCAATTTATGTTCATGACAGTGGGGATTTTTTTAAATGTCTACATTCTTTCTAATAAACTGTTGGAAGACTCAAAAAAAAAAAGAATCCAGGGCTTTCAAAGATGTCTTTTTCTCTGAACAAGATATAAAATAAACAATGACTGCTGGGGTGAGGAATTTTCAAATAAAAGAAGCCATACTGGATTATTTCATATAAGGCACTGTTTTCTAACAATCCAACTACTATGTTACATTTTACAATAGGGATCTATTATTTCTATTTCCTAGTTTTAATAAGACATAACATATACATCAGAACCCATAAAACTCTTGAAGTAATATTATACTATATGCATCATAATGATGGAAGTTAAGATCCTAAAACCTGCATTTTGACTTCCACTAAAAAGAAAACTACAAAAGTACATCGCATTTCATAACACTGAGAAAAAAGAGAAGACACAAGAACACCCATGATCCCAAACTCCTACTTGCCTCATGGTTTTAATACATAGTTGTATCATGTCCTACTTACCCTTTCCTACTTTCTACGTACCCTTTATCATGTTCTGCTTACCCTTTCTCATTTTCTCCCTTCAGCTGAATGTCAGCTCCATAGGAGCTAAGACCTTGCCTGTTTCCACTGAACTGCTAGCACGTAGAATATGCTAGGTGCTCACTAAATATTTGTTGAATGAATGATTTCCCTGTTATTTTATAATTTTCATAAGCAACCACATAGTAGCCCAGAGTCATCATAACTTCCTTAGTGTTTTTAATGTTAAATGTTGAGCTATAAATGAATTTTTACTACTGAGATTACCATGGTTAAGTCAGCTTACCTCACTAGAACTAATATTCTACCCTGAGGTTTAAGACTAAAGCCCAAGCTAGTCATATCATGCTTTCATTTGACTTTGCTCTCTCACTTTCTAACCTGGAAACTTCATGTTGGTGGGTGTGGCAGATATTTGGAAGGATAATAATAAGTCCATAACCAAAACATGCTCTCTCCACTTTGGAAACATGATTCAATATGCAAGAAAAGTGTCCCTACTACCCCAAATGTCTTTGTTTTAGCTGATCCTTTCCTTTCAGACATTCTTCAAGAAGAGCTCACTATAAATATTCCCCAACTCCAAATATCTCTGGTACTAACAGGCCTCTGAGCACAGATCAAAATGGCCTTTTACATTCCTGAACCCCGTGAGGGTGCCACGCAACCCTAGCACGGGTATAAATCTACCAGCGGAATCCCACAGGCGTCTGCATCTCCAGAAAACAGGCCACACAGAATGACGAGTCCAAAACCACCAAAGGGGTCTGTTTTAGAGGAAATGGTCAATATGTTAACAAGCATGAGGCTTCCTTTTCGAGGAAGAATGCCAGAGAAATGGATGACTGGAAGATGGAAAGTAGAACCCCGAACACCACAAGAAAAAGAGTTGGAGAAAGAGAACAAAAGAAAAAGCAACATGAGGAGATAGAGCAAAATAAACCAATAGAGGAGAACTGACAGCTGTGGAAGAAAGAAATAGAAAATAAGAAACCAAGACAAGGAAAGCATAAAGTGGGGGAGATGTGAGAAAGGTAAATGGGGACTGAGAAAAGGAAAACAACATGAAAGGAAAGTGAGAAAGAACAATAAAAGAAAATAAGATGAGCATTAAAAGAAAAGGAAAGAATGAAGAACCAAGATAAGAAACTTAAGAAGGTAAATAATTAAATATAAAAAAAGTGATATCTGAGAACAAAGATGACAGAGAAAAAGGTATAAAAATAGGAATCAGAGAAAAATGAAGGACAAGAGTAAATAGCATTCTGTGATGCTAGTGGCCTTCTCAAGTCTATATTCTACTTATATTCATTTTCCAGAATAACCTTGAATGTCATTGTAACATCAGTCACCTGCAGGCTGAGTCGAGGGCTGGTCTTCACTGCTTGATTCATACCCTGTGATAGAGATGGCCAAGTTTGCTAGAGTAGAAGCTGCCATGGAAATAACTTGCCCTGGTAACTCTGCCCCTGTAAAATAAGTGTGCATTTTTTAAAACTTTTTAAAGCAAATGAACAAAACAGGAAATAACTCTTGTAAATTTAAACATAGTCCAAAGTTTTCAACAGTGATAATACAAATCGGTTATTACTGCCCCACTGGACCTAGTGGTTCTTTGCCAAGGAAGAATGCTTAAGAGTCAGCAGGAAAGTTTGCTTAAAATGCAGCCTCATTTGGGACCTTCATGTTGGTGGGTATGGCAGATATTGCACATACATATTTGGGGTGTGCACTTATATCTTTTAACTTTACCAGTTGGCTTTAATGCACACTTCTACTGAAAAACACTGCCACACCAAGTTTGTGAGCTCCCTGATCACAGGGAGGCTACTTTATATACCTAGGTCCTAGTGCAGTATGAGACAGCCTAAACTTGGTGCTCTCAAAAATAATATTCCACAAATGAACATGTAAATGTATGCTTGAACATGCAAGTGTATAGATATTATGCAAAGCAAGAGAGATCCATAAAGTACACAATTCAGCAAAGGCAAAATACATCACTTGAAAATCTAAAGGAACATCACGACTATCATGTTATATATTCCCACGGTAACTTCTTAATATGTAGTATCAAGCTTGATCATTCGCCCTAGATTCAAATAAAACATTTACTAGCAAATGAGGTCTGTCTGGAAAGGTCAGCCTTTAACCTGCTATGGCACACAAGGCAAACCAGCTCACATAACACCAAGTTCCAGCACGCTTTCTTGCACACTAGAACAGATTGTTAAAGACTGTATTTCTTGGACTCCCTTGCAGCTAAGGTACCACATGGGATGCAGTTTCTACTGAGCAAGTATTAATAGAAAGACTGTGCAAGACTTCAAAGACTAAAGTAATACACTGTAATTTGGAAGCCACAGAGCTCTCATGACAAACACAGTCACAGAGGCATATGGTTTTTCTGCAGCAACATAACAGAAGCTCCAGAGGTTCTGCTGTCTGATTCTAACTTCAAAGTAGGTGGCAGCAGGCATGGCCTTCTGCCCAAACAGACCTTTGGTGTCACTGAGTATTTCTCCTGGTTGCATTGCTTCTGCCTGTGTCAGATCCAAGCTTAGTTGCCTGGCTTATGCAAAAGTTCTAAATGCTAACCAATACTTCTTACTATTTACACCAGCCAGAGTGGATTCTCTTGTCCACAACTAAGAACACTAGCCATTCCAAATCATACATTCACACTCATAAGTTGGGACTTGACTTTTGGTAAGCCAATACTCAGTGAGACAACAGCGAATTCTGCCAAACCAATGAAAAGAGCCATCATCCTTCAGAAAGCCAATGAAATTCTACTTCAAGTTAACTCCACATACCCAACAAATGCAAGGCTGGCCATCTCCCAGAAAGAAGCAAGCCAAAGCCTGAAGTGGTTCTTTGGTAAATTCAGCCGACAGGATCAAGAGCGCTCACCTTGCTCTATCATACCCTATCACTCCTCTAATAATGCCCCTGTGACCTGAAAGAAGTTTATCTTTAGATATGATATCATCATCATATCTCTCAGTATGACAGAAATCCAAACTCATGGTCTGGGAAGAAAGCCTAAGTTAGATACCTGGGTCAGGACCTTATTCTCCTGGTCTATGTATCTAAGGTGCTTGTGAGATGCCAGTTAGAGGGCAAGGGCTGAGAAAGACAGCATCTTTCATGTACTCACTACTCACTGCACTGTATGCTGGGGACAAAGATACTGACCCTGCCCCGTGGAGTCTGATGAAAAGAGACAGATATGAATTAAAGAACTACATAAATAAATATATGTATACAAATTATAACAGCTATAAAGGAAAAATCCTGGGTATTTTGTGAGCTACTAACAGAAGAAATGTAACTTACTCTGAAGAATCAGGAAAGGCTTCTCCTAAGAAATGAAGATGGAGTTGATATATCAACAATGAGAAGGAATTAACCAAAGGAATGTAAAAAATAACATGCTGGGCAGAAGGAAGCAAGAAGGCAGGCTGTGTGAAGAACTCAGCACATTAAAAGATAGTGAGGCCGGGCATGGTGGCTCACACCTGTAATCCTAGCACTCTGGGAAGCCAAGGCAGGCGGATCATTTGAGCTCAGGAGTTCGAGACCAGCCTGAGGAAGAGCAAGACCCCGTCTCTACTAAAAAGAGAAAGAAATTGGCCAAACAACTAAAAATAGAAAAAGTTAGCCAGGCATGGTGGCGCTTGCCTATAATCCCAGCTACCTGGGAGGCTGAGGCAGGAGGATCGCTTGAGCCCAGGAGTTTGAGGTTGCAGTGAGCTAGGCTGACGCCACGGCACTCTAGCCCAGGCAAGAGAGTGAGACTCTGTCTCAAAAAAAAAAAAAGATAGTGTAAGAAGGTCAGTGTGTCTGGAACACAGACAGCTAGTAAGAAACTGGCATCAAATAAACAAGGTTGGAAAGGCAAGCCACACGATGTAGGTCACAGATGACCATATTAAGGACTTCAGTCTTTATCCTAAGAGGAATAGAAAAGCACTGAAGAGTTATAAATAGGACAGTAATCTTTTGTTAACTGAAATTTTATTAAGATAAAAGCAAATTCATATGCAGTTGTAAGAAATAATCCTGTGTACCCTTTACCCAGTTTCCTCCAAAGGTAACATTTGCAAAACTGTAGTACAGTATCAGGAGATGGGCACAGATACAAGATACAGGACAGTTTCATCACTGCAAGGATCCCTCATGTAGACCTTTTATAACCACATTCACCTGCCTCCCACCCCTCCCTGCTGTGTAAATAAATGATCAGTTTTGAGATATGAAAAGATCACTCTTGCTTGTCTGGAGATCAGACTAAAGGGGACTAAGAGTGAGTGCAGGGAAATAAGTTACTGCAGTACTACAGGCAAGACATGACAGCATGGTCTACTGTATTAACAGGGAGGTGGGGAAAAGTGGCTGGATTTAAGAGACACAGAGGAGTCACGCTGGACCACACTTGGTGATGTACTGACAAAGGGAAACAAAGAGATGAAGGCATCCAAGTTTACAGATTATGAATAGATAACATGTAGAGGAACAGGATCAAGATCCCAAACATTTTTTTTTTTTTTTGGAGACAGGATAGCACTTAGCTTCATAGAAGTAAGCCCAGGAGAGAATGCTTAGGCCCCACTCAAAAGCAAAGTTTGGGTACACCTAACAGCCTGGCACAGCAGAAAAGAGGGGAAAAAAAAAAAAACCTTCAAGTCAAAGTATTCAACACTAGCATGTCATGAATAAATGAATGAATAAATAAATAAAGTATTTTTTCTTATATAAGATTAAAAACTAAGCAGGGGGCCCTGAATTACTAAACTGACCTCTTCACAATTTAATTAAGTGGTGACTCACCTCTGAGACACTGTGAAGTTAAGTCCCTTGAAAGTTTTTAAGTAACTCCAAAATAACAAGACCACTGCATAGCTCCTCAAATATGGACTTTCAGTTCAGCTGCATTTTAACTTACATTTCTAAATACCTACTAAGCATTCGCTCGCCAAACAGGTGACTAGGTTACACGCTGAGACAAGAGACAGGGTCTCTTGTCTAAGACAGGGTCTTAGACCCTGTCCTTAAGTTCAATTTAATACTTAACCAGCTATAATTCAGTATGTTAAGAGCTAATGTAAAGTAAGCATAGAATGCTTGGGGAGCACAGAGGATAGAAACCAAATCCATGCTGAGAAGTCTGGGAAGGGTTTCCCAGGGAGCTATCTAACAAAAATATTAAAAGATGCCATCCTTTAAATCCATTTAAAAAGTTAGCCAGATAAAGAAGACAGAAGTCTATCCTGGGGAGGAACCTCCAAAGACACTGGTGTCTTAGAAGGCAGGGGTAGAAAAGTGTTCCAGGAAGACAAAAAAGCAGATGTAAAGACACAAAGGCAAGAAAAATCAGAGTGTCTTCTTCAAAGAACTCTAAGGTCAATAAGGCCAGAACATAGGGTACAATGAGAAGAGTAGAGAGGAACAAGTATGCAGACAGAGATAGACCAGAGAATGGAAGGTTTCATATTTCCTGGCACAATTCAGTGACTGGAAGCACAAATGAAGAAAGAAGACTGCCCAGGTCCAAATCCCAGGTCCATTCCTTACTTCTTGGATGACCATGGGCAAGTTATTTAACATCTAGATGCCTCAGTCTTTTCATGTTTAAAATGAAGCTTATATGAATTCTATCTCATGTGAAAATAAAGTGAAACAATACATATTAAAAATGCTTAGAGGCCAGGCGCGGTGGCTCACGCCTATAATCCTAGCACTCTGGGAGGCCGAGGCGGGTGGATTGTTTGAGCTCAGGAGTTTGAAACCAGCCTGAGCAAGAGCAAGACCCCCGTCTCTACTAAAAATAGAAAGAAATTAATCGGAAAACTGAAAATATATAGAAAAAATTAGCCGGGCATGGTGGCACATGCCTGTAGTCCCAGCTACTTGGGAGGCTGAGGCAGAAGGATCGCTTGAGCCCAGGAGTTTGAGGTTGCTGTGAGCTAGGCTGACGCCACGGCACTCACTCTAGCGCGGGCAACAAAAGTGAGACTCTGTCTCAAAAAAAAAAAAAATGCTTAGTATGTAGGAAGCACTTAAATGTTAGCTACATTAATCCTCCATATCAATGTATGGGCTTTGATAGTATAAATTATAAGCATAGGCCACTAACACTGCTTTAGTATTTCTCTGTACCTCTCATGCCCTTTCTGCTTTGTGTTACAACCATTTCCCTAAATCATATCCCCCTTAGTAGACATTTTTAGATCTCCCCAGAGAGCTAAGGAAAACATCTTACACAGAGAGTAGGTACTGAAAGACTTGAGAAAAAGCTAAAACCAATAAATTAAATCTTCAAAACTGTGGTGTAAAGACTAACTCTCCAACTTGCTGATGTCCCTAAAATATGTAGTATTCAATAAATCTTAGCTGCACCGACAAAAACTATGCAGCATCATTCTAGTTAATACACAAATGATTCAGCAAATTTTTAGAGTGCCTT